AAACGAAGGGGGAAAAGTATTTCAGAGTTGCCAAGACTTACTGTGGCTTCTCTTTTTATGGGTGGAAAGCAAAATAAGACACCTATCTGTGGCTCCGAAGAAAGGCCTGATGGCCCGCTTCTTTACTAGGGCTATCTCCATGGTGTGGCTGGGGAACCTTTTTTTCCCTGCCAAGAGACATTTGGATATTTATAACAATTTGCGAGCCATGCTGGTCAAACGTAATGAACTCACCCCCAAGGTCCTGGCTGGCATGGCTTCTCTTTGGTGAGGTCTGAGAGGTCAGCCGGTCTTGATGATGTTGTGAATTTCATGCGGTCCAAGGACCGGATCCCCACCCTTGGTCTGTGGGATCAAATTGGAAACAGCAACTGGAAAGATTTGATGGGAACCTGGGTGTGTGTGGGGGGCGGGGTGGGGGGTGAGCGCATGTTGATGTTGTTAGTGCTGTGGGGGTGCCATCCAGTGGGTCTGTATGTACACTCCACCTGGCCCTGTGCCGTTCCTGTAATTGTTATGTCTGAGCCCATCGCTGCAGCCACTGTGTCCATCCATCTCGTCAAGGGTCTGCCTCTTTTTTGCTGCCCCGCTGCTTTACCAAGCAAGATGGCCTTCTCCGGGGGATGATCTCTTCTGACATTAAGTCCAAAGTAAAAGGCACGTGAGGGGTCTGCCCATCCTGGCCTCTAGGGAGCATGCTGGCTGGACTTCTTCCAAGACCGAGACGCCGGTTCTTTCGCCGTGCATGGGACTTTCCATACTCTTCGCCTGCACCGTGATTGAATGCAACGATTCTTCTTTGGCCTTCCTGTCCTTACGCATCCGTCAGTTTATTGTACTCTAGCGGCTTGTGTTTGCGCCATGCTGGAAGCGATGGCATAGGGGTTTCAAATGCCACCCAACGTGAACAGACTTTCAGCAGAGCTCCCAGACTAAGAATAGGCTATGAAGAAGGGATTGGCTGTCCACTGTGGAGGAACGTGCCACGGAAATCCTTATGGGTGGAATGGAAACATTGTCCGATACTGAAAACTTCATGTTCAGGGGGGGGGGACTCGGAAAAGGAGGAGGAGGGTGGTCGCACTGCTCAATGGCTGTCACCGGCTTCACTGGGCTATCCCTCGAGCATCTGCTGGGTTGGTGTGTGTTTTGCTGTGTTTATTCTCAACGACAGATAAGTCGTGGCTGGAAAACGCGCTGGTTGCTGTTCTGCTCCGACCCCCGTGGGGGCGCCAGCAGTCAGGGTCACCTTGATGGCAATTGGTACCTGGAAAGGAGAGGGAGTAACTGAACATTTCTTTCCTTCTTGAACTGAACCCTTGCTCCAATATATTGCCTTCCTCTGCCTTGCGGGGGGTGGGGTGGGGGTGGGGTGGGGTGGGGTTTCCCACTGAGGGTGGGAGCAGGATCCCCAGTCCCTCCAGTCGTCCCTCCTGCCTGGCTCCTGGACTCCCGGAAGGAGGTAGGTGGACGCGGTTCACAGTGGGATGGGGACCAAAGAAAGCGGAAGTGGGGG